GTCCTTCACTACCTTTTGTCCAGTGTCTGGAAACCATTATTTCTCATATTTTGTCCAATTTATTATATGTTCAAGGCAGAAAAGTAAATGGAGCACCTAATACTCTATCTCCTCTACTTCATTAATGTCTTATTTTTTTTTAAATTTCTTTTTGTACTTTCTTTTGGTTTACTTTGCTGTTCGTTTTCTAGCTTTGGAGAAGGAACTTTCCATCCACCAGGAAGGGTGCTACCAGCATCTAGTGGGCAGAAGCCAGAATGCTGCCAGTTATCCTACATTGCACACAACAGTCTCTCATGGCAAAGAATTGATCCAACCCAAAATGTCAAAGCTGTAAGGCTGACAAACCCTGGTTGAACCTACTAATTCCATCCCGTTGATTGGCTTTTCTTCTTCAGGAATTCCACACACATGTATATTGTTTCTTCTTCCATCTTAACCAGTTTCACCGAGATATTTTTAACTGTCTCTTCATCTCTTTTTTCCTGTTGGATGCTTTCTTGCCTTCCCTCAGAGTCCCTTCTTAAAAATTTTTAAAAGATTTATTTTAGAGAGAGCGAAAGAAGGCGAGCAATTATGTGAGTGAAGGGTGGGGAGGAGAGTGACAGGGAGAAAGAAGCTCTCCAGCAGACTCCCCATAGAGCACGGAGCCCGACGTGGGGCTCGATCTCACAACCCCAAGATCATGACCTGAGCCGAAACCAAGAGTCAGATGCTTAACTGACTGAGCCATTCAGGTACCACTGTTCCTTCTTAAAATTTTATTTGAATCTCTTTTCCATTTCGCACAGTGTAATTCTTATTTTCTGAATGAAATTTCCATTTCTTTTATCTTTTCACTGTCAATTTTATTTGTATTTATTTTAAATTTCTGTATGAAGGCAGCTTTTCATATCCTCAAATGATTTTCTTCTGTTTTATAGTTGATTTGGTATTTTGTATTCTTATTCAAATATTTTGGTGCTTATTTTGATTTTTCTTTTGACTCTTATTTTCATTAAAGTATTTTGATTCTTATTTTCTGTTTTGTTACAGTTTCTTTAAACATTTATCTGGTTTTCTTCCATTCATTTGATGGATTTGGTGTGGTTTGCAATATTTTTAGTTCAATGCTGCCCCCTTCTGTCAGTGTAGCAAAGTACAGTACTTTCTCTAATAAAAGTTGTTTTCTTATGGCAGGTGATTGTTACCAGAGGGGTTGTGTAACTTCCACTCAATTCATTCCTTCTGTCTTTCAGAATATTAATTGTTCCTCTTGCCCTCAGTTTTTTCTTTTCATCACCCAACCTCCAAACGGTGACTCTTTCCTTTAAACTTCTCTTACACAGTCAGTGCTGTTCAAAGACTGCCATCTCAAATCATGGTGCTTTTTAATTCCTTCTCTGCAGAGAAGATGTCATTCTGTTATAACATATTCATTTAAGATTACATATTTTCCTCTAGACATTATTGTACCTCATTCCCACACATTTTGCTACAATATTACTATAATCATTCAGTTCAAGATATTTTCTAGTTTCCTTTATGATTTTTCTTTGGCCCATGACTCATTCATAAATATATTTTTACATTTCCAAATACGTGATTTTTTGATGTGTCATAATTGTCTTCTGGTCAAAAAACATACTCTGTATGATTTAAAATATTTGAGAGATGTATAGAATTAATGAATCACTATATTGTACATCTGAAAAGAATATAACACTGTATGTTAATCACACTGAAATTAAAATAAAAGAATAAATAAATATCTAAGCCAAAAAATTTTTAAAAATAAATATTTGAAAAATTTCTCATTGTTTTATGGTACAGTATGTGGTCATTTTTATTAATGGTCCTTGCAAAAACGTGTATTTATATATGTCTATTAGGTCAATTTGTTAATTGTGCTGTCATATTCTACTATATGTAGTTTTGTCTATACTAAATCCCCCAATATCCTGTTCCCTGGTTAATTGCCACACAGTTTACAGTGACTCCTATCAGCAAGAGTCATGAACAGATATTTCAGCGCCTTTACAGATTAAAAAAAAAAAAATCTATGTTTAGCATAGAGGTCACTCAAATCCATCTAACATTATTAATGTTATATCCTAATAAGTATTGAATCTTTGCCAAATCAACTGCTGCTACATGATTGGTGTAATTTCTGTATCTTTTCTGGAAATCACATATAAACATCAGTAAGAATAAGAGCTATGTTAGAGACAGAACAAACAAGCAAGTAAAACCAATGGATCTACTGTTAAAAAGCTTTTGCACAGCTAAAGGAAACAGCAAAACCAAAAGACAACCGACAGAATGGGAGAAGATACTTGCAAATGTCTTATCAGATAAAGGGCTAGTATCCAAAATCTATAAAGGAATTACCAAACTCAACACGAAGGAACAAATAATCCAATCAAGAAATGGGCAGAAGACATGAACAGACATTTTTCCAAAGAAGACATCCAAATGGCCAACAGACACATGAAAAAGTGTTCAGCATCACTTGGCATCAGGGAAATCCAAATCAAAACCTCAATGAGATACCACCTCACACCAGTCAGAATGGCTAAAATTAACAAGTCAGGAAACGACAGATGTTGGCGGGGATGCAGAGAAAGGGGAACCCTCCTCCACTGTTGGTGGGAATGCAAGCTGGTGCAGCCACTCTGGAAAACAGTATGGAGGTTCCTCAAAAAGTTGAAAATAGAGCTACCCTATGACCCAGCAATTGCACTACTGGGTATTTACCCCAAAGATACAAATGTAGTGAACTGAAAGGGCACCTTCACCCCAATGTTTATAACAGCAATGTCCACAATAGCCAAACTATGGAAAGAGCCCATCAACAGATGAATGGATAAAGAAAATGTGGTATATATATACAATGGAATATTATGCGACCATAAAAAAAATAAATTCTTACCATTTGCAGTGGATGGAACCAGGGGGTATTATGCTACATGAAATAAATCAACCAGAGAAAGACAATTATCATATGATCTCACTGATATGTGGAATTTGAGAAAGAAGGCAAAGGATCATAGGGGAAGAGAGGAAAAAATGAAACAAGAAGAAACCAGAGAGGGAGACAAACCATAAGAGACCCTTAATCTCAGGAAACAAACTGAGGGTTGCTGGAGTGGTGGGGCGTGGGAGGAATGGGGTGGCTGGGTGATAGACATGCGGGAGGGTATGTGTTGTGGTGAGCACTGTGTATTGTGTAAAACTGATGAATCACAGACCTGTACTCCTGGAACAAATAATACATTATATTTTAATAATAATAATAATAAAGAAAAACAAAAAAACCCCAATGGATCTACTGTCCAAAAGAAGGGATATAGGAATACAAAATCACATCAATTTTTCACTTCTAAAAAGTATACTAAATTAGAATTGACAACAAATCTTTTATTGTGAACTTCTCAGCAATTCACAAGATCTGTCACATTCACCTGTGTCCTGTGGGTATTGTACTTAGATGGTTGCTGGATAATGTGTGGATAAGACTGGTCCTCCTCTTGTAGAGACAAAGATTCTGAAATCTGTGTGTTCTTACTGTTCATCATCAGGGAGACAATGAATTCTTCTGAACCTGTGTCCAAATCTTCTCTAGCAGTGTCTGAAATTTATGCCTCCTCATTTTCTGGTGGTTCATATTACTGTTCATCAACATTTTGGTTTATCATAGATATCATAGTATAATCTTTCATTGGTGTCTGGATTTTTCTTCAATACACCATCTTTTCCACTTCCTGATTAGTCTTTATAGGCTGTCACTTCTACATGTTTAGTAATATTTCATAAAGAAGGGACTAAATTTGCTATTTGACTTCATCTTTAGTGTTCTTGGAGTCTGATTCAATGGGAACCTCTCTACTAATATTCCTCTATTCTATCTCTAGTATCTCTAATATTTACCTCTGTGGTAAAATTAGAATGGGTAATCATGAAGGAAGAGATGGGGAAAGTAGAAATAAATCTAACGCTACAACCGCAGATAAGTTCGCAGGCAGATCAATTTTCAGAAGGGGCTTACAGAAATGGAAACTGATTCCTTAGAAGTGTTCATATCTTTATTGCTAATGGGTATGGGGTTTCTTTTTGGGGTGATGAAAATGTTCTAGAATTAGATCATGGTGACATTGCTCAATTCTGTATCTTAAAAAAAAACAACCACTGAACACTCTAAATGGATGACTTTTGTGTGTATGAAATATATCACAATAAAGCCATTTTTTTTTTTAGGAAAGAAAAAACCTTGAGATATCTGTATACCCCTCGGGGTCTTCAAGTCATTTAAATATCAGGCTTTAGAGACTATACAATCCACACAGAAAAATGGTTAATAACACAATTCTTAAATTTAGAAAAATGCCTAGGTTTAAATTTTGGTTTCATACTTACTGTGGGGTTAAAAGTCAATTAGTTAATGTCACTTGGCATTAGCTTTCTCAGATAAAGTGGGGAAAACAACACTGCTTTGTCCAGAAACAGGGACGGAAACAGGATTTTTGCTCAAGTCGTACACTGTAGGAGCACTCCAGGTGAAGAGCAGGGTAGACTCAGGACAAGAGACTAGGCTATGAATCTGCAAACAATGTGGTCTCAGCAGGATCCAGCTTAGATTTAGATCTGTTTCCTCAAGGAGTCAGTCAGCCGTGGGCCAAAGCCTAAGGGGACAGTGTGGCATGGTGCCGTCCTCCAGGCTGGTGGCTGTCTGTATTGAGTGGCCGCCACTCGGTGCTACTGGAAGAAGATGCCCTTGCCAGTACAGGGCGTCTGGGTTGGGCACTCCCAGCACTTACTACTCACTCCTCCCCATAGTCTTGTTGTAGGAAGGCCCAAGATGAGACACAGTACAATCACAATGAAGGTCTGCACAGTGCCTGGCACCTAAGAACTACTTTATAAATGGTAGCTATTTTTTTTGCAGGACATAAAATATCAGACACACGGACAAGAAATTAATTACAAATATTGTATAACACCATCCAGTCAGGAAATCTTACTGTACATGTTGCTTCTTCATCAAATGCGTACGTGTGATTTATTGAGCATGCTTCCTGACGAGGTGGTAAAGGAGTCACTTTGAGTGGGCTTGTCCAACCTGAAAACAAAAATGTATGTGCTTTGGGTTAAAAATGTGATAGAGGGTTTTTTTTGGTTTGTTTCTTTTTCTTCCACCAGAAATATTTCCTAGGAGAAAGCCCCACTGTGTGATGTTAACTGACATTTCAATGGATTATATAACAACTTTTCTTAGCAGTGAGAACTGAAGAGCTCTGGAATTTACATGTTAGGATAATGATAGTAGTGCAGAATTATTTGTTACTACTCATTATTTGAATTAGTCTGTTGAGTACTATGAATCCGCAGATGAGCATGTAGATGTATTAGGGATGGTGGCAACACAGAGGAGTCTGGTTACTATGCAGATAACTTATCTAATGATAGAAGTCCTAAGAGACTAGCAAATATGCACACGGACTGCAACAAATATTTACTGTGTTGTAAATGGAAGTAGATGCATACACAAAGACAGAAGAGGGGGTTCCTGGGTTTGAGGTGCTCATGAGCAAGTGGAAAATACAGTCATGTTAGTAGATAGCTTCAGGGTCGTAATAATACTTGTTCTCTGCGTGCCATGGGAGTGCAGAGGAAGAATACTAGCCCAGCCAGATTGTGGGGAGTTAAGAACATCTTCCTGAAGATAATATTTGATCTAACCTTGACAAAGGGGGAAGTCAGGATGATTAGAGTCTGAGAAAGCCTCGATACACCACTGTTGACTTGGAAGACAGAGGAGGCCATGTGCATGTGAGAAGGAGAACAGGTAGCCTCCAGGAGCAGAGTGTCCCTGGCTGTCCAGGACGAGGGTGTTCCTGGCTGTCCAAGACAAGGAATCTGACACCTCTAATGCAAGGAACCGGGTTCTGTACAACCTGAATGAGCCTCAAGTAGATTTTTCCCAGACACTGCAGGTTTGGGCAGTTAGATCCTGAGTAGAAAACCAGTTGAGCCTGCCCAGTCTTCTCACAAAACCGGGAGCTAATAAATGGGTTTTGTGTTGGGCTGCTGAGTCTGTGGTACTTTGTCACAGCAGCAAGAGAAAATATAGAGGCAGAGAGGCAAGAGGTGAAGGCAAAGTGAGAAAGGCAGTGCTGAATCCCATGATCATTTCAGGTTTGAGAATAAGGATAATTCTATCTGTGACCCAGCTGACTGAAGGAAACCCTCAGAAGACTATTGTGCCAAAAGCAGCATGATGGCACCTTGTGCTTGCATTGAAGCAGCAGCTTTGGAAAAGGAGGAAAATAGGAAAACAACAGAACCTAAGATTTGATTTTTAAGCCAGAGTAGGAGATAGGGAATAGGACATTGAATTACAGCTATACACCTCAGGGTAGGACATTCATGCCTAAGTATGACGATGTCATTTCCCTTACCTTGTTTCAGTGCCTACCGCTGCCAAACAAACACGCCAAAGCCTAGCATCTTAAAACAACCATTTGTTGTCTCCCAGGACTCTGAAGCTAGTCTGGGTGTTGTATGTCATGTGCTGTAGCCTGGGATTGCTCAAGAGGTCCAAAATTATCTCACTCACTGGCTGGCAAGTGGGTGTTGACAGTTACCAGGGAGCTGAGCTGGGTCTGCTGACGAGTGCCTTGTTTTTTGTTACTTTTTTTCCCCCTATGGGCCTTTATTGAATTTTTCACAAAATAGTGACTGAGAATCCAAAGGAAAATCCCAAGAGGTCCAATCCCAATGTGCAAGTACAAAAAAAAAAAGTCTCCATTTGCAGTATGGTTGCTAATACAGGCGAGAGCCCAGAATCAATGTGGGAAGGAAACAGACCTCACCTCATGGTAGGAGGGTGGCAGGCACACACAGGAAGGAGTGAGCTGCCAAGGGCCACCTTTGGGACCAGCTATTACACACCTCCTCCTCATAATGCACAATCTCACTTCACCACTTTCATGCCACCAAACAAATATTAAGTCCTTTGTAGAGGGAAGCACTGTACTATTTCTTCACTTATTAGAGATTTAACATGTTTGAAACTGTGATATTTTCATAGTGAGTTGGTTTTGTGTGTAACCCATGAAATTGAGTGAGTTTGGAGGGGTCTGCCATTTTTCCATAGGCCCTATTATTTTTATGATAAAACATTTCTATAATGTGTTAAAGAAACAAAACTTTAACAGAAAGATTTAAGGACTATTCTATGTATATTTTCTTATTCATGTGTTTTCTCTCCTCTAATGGTTAGAAATACATTTTTTCAACATCTAAAATCCCATCGTTAGTGGTCTTCTCTGAGTTTTCTTTCTCACTATAGCTAAAGGTAGGTCAATTTTGTTATTTTCAAAGAACCAGGTTCAGGTTTAGTTGATTTTTTTCTACTTTTCTGTTCTCTACTTTATCTATATGCACCAAACATAGACCTTCAAAATATATGATGCAAATATTGACAGAATTTAAGGGAGAAGTAACTCTACACTGGTAATTGGAGACCTCAATACTTTACTTTCAGTAATGGATAGAACAACTAGACAAAGACCGATAAGGAAATAGAGGACTCAAACAAAAATTTGTCACAAAAGACATATACACTTTATCCAACAGACGCTTTATCCAACAGAATACCCAAGCAGAACATATATTTTTCTCAAGTGCACATGGAACATTCTATAGAACAGATTATATTGTAGGCCATGAAACAGGTCTTCATAATTTTTAAAAGACTGAAATCATGCAAAGTATATTTTCTGATCACAATGGAATCAAAGTAGAAATTGACAAAATGGAATGAAACTACAAATCAATACATGAAAATTAAACACCACATGCCTGAATAACCAAAGAAGAAAGCACATGTAAAATTAGAAATTATCTTGAGAAAAATGAAAACAAAAACACAGTACAACAAAAGTTATGGGATTCAACAAAAGTAGAACTAAGAGGGAAGTTTATTGGTATAAACACTTATCTTAATGAAAAAAGATCTCAAATGAACAACCTAAATTTATAACTTAAGGAAGTACAAAAAAAAAAAAAAGAAACTAAACCCAAAGCTAGTAGAAAGAAGGAAACAAAGATCAGAGTAGAGATACACAAAATAGAGAAGAAAAAAACAAGAGAATCAATGAAAGCAAGAGTTGGTTTTTTTGAAAATATAAAAAAAGAAATTGACAAACATTTAGCTAGATGGACTCAGAAAAAAAAAAGAAAGAAGACTCAAATAAACTAAAATCATAAATGGGAAAGGGGACAGAACAACTAATTTTTGTTGGAGGAGGTCATCAAGAGGATGTGACTACTTGTGAGCTGGACTCTGGCATGGGAGGCTTCTCAGCCACTCCCCTGTCCTAGAAATGTACCTTCTGCCCACCATTCCCCCAGCAGGAGCTGTTTCAAGAATGTAGCCCAGAGTAAGGTGTTGTTGAGACCATCTGGATGGTAATATGACTGAACCCTGTTAAGGTCTTTATACAGACTTTTAGGATTCCAAAGGCCAGGTGTGGAGATCTACTTGTCTTGCAGCCACCCAAGACAAGCCTTGTATATAAGTTCTCTTTCTTATTAAACCTGCCACTTACCCATCTGGGGTGACCTGCCTCTTTCTTTGTTCTCTCTCTGCCCTCCATGTATGAGGGCCAGTTTTGGATTTCACCCAAAGAACTCCTGAGGCTGCAAACTAACAAATTTACAGAAATAAAAAGGATAAGAATGTACTATGAACAACTGTGCACCAACAAATTATATAACCTAGATGAAATAGACAAATTCCTAGAAACACACAAACTACCAAGACTGAATCATTTAGAAACAGAAAATATGAACAGATCTATAACTAATAGGGAGAATCAATAATCAAAAACTTCCCAACAAAGAAAAGCTCAGGACCAAATGGCTTCACTGGTGAATTCTACAAAACATTTAAAGAATTAATACCAATCCTTCTCAAACTCTTCCAAAAATACTGAAGAGAAGGGGAGGCTCCCAAACTCATTCTGAGGCCAACATTACCTTGATACCAAAGTCAGACAAAGACACTACAAGAAAACGACAGATCAATATCCCTGATAAATACCGATGCAAAAATCCTCAAAATGCTAAAAAACAGAATTTAACAGCACATTGAAAGTATTATACACCATGACCAAGTGAGGTTTATTCCTTGAATGCAAGGAATTGTATTTGTGCATTGTTGGTGGCAATTTAAAATGGAGTAGCCACTATGAAAAACAGTATGGTGGTTTCTCAAAACATTAAACATGGAATTACCATGTAATTGAGCAATTCCACTTTGGGGTATACACCCCAAAGAACTGAAAGCTGGGTCTTGAAGAGATTTACACCCCCAAGTTCATAGCAGTATTACTCACAATAGCCAAAAGGTGAAGCAACCCAAGTGTCCACCGATGGATAAATAAACAAAATGTGGCATATACATGAAAAGGAAAATTATTCAGCCTTAAAAAGAAATTCTGATACATGCTACAACATGAACATTGTAATTCACGAGGACATTATGCTAAATGAAATAAGCCAGTCACAAAAGACCAATACTTTATGACTTCACTTATATGAGGTTTCCAGAGTAGCCAAATTCTGAGACAGAAAGTAAAATGGTGATTGCTAGGGGCCCAAGGAGAAGGGGAGGAGATAGGAAGTTAGTATTTAATCAGTACAGTTTCTGTTTTTTAGATGAAAAGTGTTAAGGAGATGAACAGTGGTGAAGATTGCACTTAATACCAATGAACCATACACTTAAAAATGGTTGATTGTTATGGAGTAAAGGTTTGTGTACCCCCCCCAATTTGTATATTGAAACTTTTACCCCCAATGTGATGGTATTTGAAGGTTGGGCCTTCAGGAGGGAGTTAGGTTTAGATAAGGTGTGGAGGGTGTGGCTTCCATGATAGGATTACTTTCCTTATAAAAAGAGGAGGAGAGACCAGAGCTGTCTCTCTCTCTCTCTCTGCCAGGGGAGGAAACAGCAAGAAGCGGGCCCTCTGCAAGCTAGAAAGAGGGCTCTCACCAGGAACCAAGTTAGCCTGTATCTTGATCTTGGACTTCCCAACCTAAATAAATGCGTGCTGCTTAAGTCACCCAGTCTATGGTATTTTATTTTAGCAGTTTGAGCTGAGACAGTAGCTAAAAAAGAAAAAAGCAGGAAGATATACAAAGAGTTATAAGTATTGATCTTAGGAAGCTGAATACAGGAAAATCAAGGATGTGATAATAGGCAACCTCTATTTTTCCTGTGATAAGGAAGATGTGCTATCTCCTGTAAGGAAAGGCAATAAGACCAAAGAAAAGTTTGAATATAATTAGGATAAGTTTAGAGTACTTGATTAGTATATGAGAAAGAAAGCCAACTAGGAACAAAGAAGTACTGAATCCAGTTGTCTAGACAAAGTTGGAATAAAGCAAGAAATTGGCGATATAATCTTTTGTGATATCGTTTTGGTATTTATGAAAGCCCACTGAAAAGCATATTCATGTGTGATACAGTTAATTTTACAAAGACATTCTTCTCAGAATGTATTCGAAATTATGTGTATCTAGGTTTGCTATAAACCGAAAGTACTTATTATTTATAATTAATGATTATTTCCAAGATCTACAAAATCATTGAAAACCTAGGACAAATTATATTGAACCAAATCCATGGACTGCCAGTATTACTCTTTGAAACTATAATAGCTAATATTGACAGCTACTATTAATTGAATGCTTTAACCAGGTTCCAGGAATTTTGTTAAGTGCTTTACATGTCTTAATTCATTTAATCCTTAACAATTTTATAAGAGAAGTACCCTTATTGCCAAGGAATTGAAAATTCTGGACTTTCTAATAGCTAACATTTTTTTGGTGCATTCCTCCATGTCAGATATCTGTACGTGAATTATATTATAGTCTTTACTATTACCTTATGAAGTATTACTAGTACGTAAATTTACAAATATGGATACACAGGCATAAAGAGCCCTGGGTCATAGTGCAAGTAAGCCTTCTACCAGGACTTAAGCCCAGAAAGTGTACTGAATTCTGTTGTATTGATCCAGGTAGTGAGTTCTATACTTGGTTCTGAATTGTTGGTGCAGTTTGTTAACCCTATTTTCATTGTACGTTAGCTTTAATTATTTCTTCAGGCTCTAATTTGTTGTAATAATGTTTTGAGAGTCCAATCTTAGAAAAACTTAAAAACCAAAAATATTGTTCTTAAAAATTACATAGGCTAGGGTTTACTGCTTACAACCAAAGTAGTATACTTGTCTAAAATAGGACTACTAGAAAAAACAACTTCAATTCCTTTAAAGACATATTCCTGACAATGACTACTATTTTACATTGAAACATTAGCAAAAGAGTGAGCTCAAGCTCTTTTCTGCAGAGTTGGGATCAGTAAGATGTTCTGTGTCTGCAAGACCGACCTGAAGTCATCCATTGTTCAATGTGAATTACATTAGCTTTCAGTAATACTGTATTTCACTAGATGGCATTTCCAAGAGATTAGAAAATACTTATTTCTTAAAATAGGTTGTTGAACCTCATTCATATCCTTTATATGGAAATTCCAAACTGAGGGATTTCCTGAAGCCTATGTACTAAGTCCACAGCTGAAGGGCACATTAAAAGAATAACTTCTATCATATGCTGGTATCTCTCCAAATAGCTCTGTCTGTTCAAAAGTGGGTATCTGCAAGGTGGGGCTGGGAAGAAGGGTTCTTCATTTCTATCACCTTTCCCTTTATTCTTACCCCCTTCCAGGTCCCAAGTGACTATGGCCTCTCTCCATGGAGAAGTGGCAGGGACCATGAAACCCCACTGCTCCAACAAATGGTGGGGTCACTGTTCCTTCACATACTGTCTCCTCAGGCCTCTAGTCTATGGCCAGATGCCAAAGAGCAGTGGAGGGGGGTGCAGCCTCTGGCATAGACGAAGCTTAGCATCTCTTGCTACAGCATTTGGTCTTTTCCTTTCCACATGCTCAGAGATGTTAACCTCCTTGTACTTCCTGCTTGCCAGAAACACCTCCATACAATATAGGCCATGTGGCTTTCCTTTGGAAGTGTTCCTCACCCTTTCTGGACCAGGCCTGTGACACTCTCTGGGAGTTCTCACAGAGAAACCATAAGGTATAGCTTTCAGTAAGGGGTCATCAATTCTGTGTCCAGGGCTATGGAAGGGTTGCTTCCTAACAGACCCCCAAATCTACTCTCAAGTACCTTCCCATTTCATTTCAGCTCCTGTGACCTCTTTATAACCACCAGCAGATTTGGTTTTTCAAGGGAGACAGACAGACAAGGAAACATGCTACACAATTATCAAAACTAAACATATATGCCCTTGTGGAAAAATTAGGTTATCCATAGGTCTAGAATAAATTATCTGATACACACTTTTTGTTGGTCACTTATCCTAATTAATGCACTTTTTAAAAAACTTTTTTTTTTTTTACAAATAGGTTTATAAAAGGCTAATCATTCTTACTAGTTTTTCCTTACAACCTATAATTTAAAAATAAGAGTTCCTTATTCACTTCTTTATAATTTTATGTGAAATTTACTGCTAAATACTCAGGCTGACATCCACCCTCTTCTCCCTTGTTTGAAGGTTCAAAAATTATGAAGCCCATGTCATTTTACTTACCTCCAAGTCTTGCTCTGATGGAAATGTCTGGTATTGCCCTGGAATTCCATCTCCTGTCCTGTTTTAGTTCTTCTAATAAAATGTTTTGCGTTTTCAGTGTTTGAAATCCTGTGTCTGGCCTGGGAACTCGATGATGCGGTTTCACATCCCTGAAATCCACCAGGCTTGGTATGGTTCTGCCAAAGCCAGGCTTTAAATCAGCATCGCCACCAGGACTCAAAAACCCGGAACAGGCATCACCCAAGGGCACATCATCCCGAAGTGGAAATAATGGATAATCTCGCCCATACGGTGGGGGATAAGGATAGTGTAAATGGTAGTCTGGCAGGACCGAAGGGGGATAAGGGTGAAATTTAAGAAAAGTAGGGTTGCATTTCTTTTCAATTCTGCCATAGTTATGTCTGTCTTCAACTCCTTTCACAAAAGGCATGTTCATTTTCCTTAAGAGATTATAGTAGTGTGGGTAATCTATATTCTCAACAGCCTTTTTTCCTGAAAGGATGGACCTTTCAGAGATACTTATCTTTCCAGGTTTGGACTGTGAATCCATATCCATGGCCTTTCTCTTTAGAATTTTGGATGACTGTAAATTAAGTGCCTCTGACGACTCCTTTCTATTTAACTATAAAACTTACTATGTCCAATAATTGAGGATTGGTTAATCTATCATAAAGTTACTGAATTGGTTTTCTAAATGTTGATAGTTTGTTGTTTTTTTTTTTAAGGTAAATATTTTTTCTCTACCAAAAGAAGAATAGGGCAGTAAGGGACCAGGACAGAAAAAGCAAAACAAGGGTCCTCGTTGCTTGGCAACAGCTAGAACTCTAACACATCGGACCATTTACTATATATGTCATAATTTAATTCTTAGGGAAAACAAAAATAGCCTTGTTAGTAATATTTTCATGATAGTTTCCTTCCCACTGTTCATTTGTTACTTATTTTTAAACGTTTCCCTAAGTTGATTTTTTATAAGTAAATGATATTCACTAAAGAGTGTAAAGCAGTTAGTCAAGTGAGAATATATTTTTAAAGTATATATCTGACTAAAATAAAGATATAATAAATTACAAAACTCATTACCTAAATAAATGTAAATTTAAATGCAGTGCAAAGAATGAACAGGTATTATACCACACTTAATTCAGTGCAGTTAATTTCTGAGAGAAATAAGTGATCAATATTCAAAGTACAAGTTAATCTTTAAAATGCTCTAAATTACCTTACCTTTTGGCTACCAATGTACAGAATAAGACCAATGGGATTTTTGAACTCATTTCAGAAAACTACAATATGGTATGAGATATCAGGTCACATGTAAAAAAAAAAAAAGAATACCATTACTATATTGGTCATTTAGAAGCTCATTTCAATGAGGTAATTTGGACTTGCATGAAAACTGCTACCACAGGAATTCCAAGTATTGGAATTTGGGCACGGGGATCGTACCATCCCTTCTGGAGTAAAACAAAACAACCCCCCCCCCCGAAAAAAACACACAAAAATCAAAAAACAAAAAAAACCCCCATGCAAACATGAATGGGAAACCTACTTTCATATTTCCAGCAACTGGCTTTCCAACTTTAGATTCACAGCATACATGCACTAAAATCTCCAATGTAACATCCTATTCTCAGGTTGAATATTAGGAATTTACACAGTAGATGAAGGTAGGAGGGACTGATGAACTGAAGCAAATTCTTGATGGCAGAAAACAAGTCAATGACAGTCAAAAGTCCATTTGGTATTTTGCAGGTTTACCCGTTTATAAATATTAAGAGGAGCTTTAGCAGGGCATATACCTAGACATAGTGATTGGGCACTATTCAGTAATATATATATATATTTATTGGATGTGCTCAAAAAACCTGCAAGGTCTTGACCAAAATGCTGGCTAGATCTAAATTATACTAACACATGCTCGAGCACAGTAAATTCATTTTTTAAAGATTTTATTTATTTATTTTAGAGAGAGACAAGAGAGACAGAAGAGGCAGAGGGAGAGGGAGAATGTGAAGCAGACCCCATCAATTCCCCCCCCCATCCCCGACGGGACTGATCCTAGGACTGAGATCATGACCTGAGCCGAAAACAAGAGGCGGAGGCTTAACCACCTGTGCCACCCAGGTGCCCCTTGAGCACAGTAAATTTAATTCAGAACCTTATACAGATAAGAATCTCTAAAGATGTAAATCTACTCAGTGGAATAAACCGTACTGTATACAGTTTACCAACCAATTAACATATGCATAAAATAGCCAGAAAACTCAAGGAACATCCTGATCCTGGCCCTGGTCCTGGTCCAGAAAGAGCCCTTATTTCTTTCTACTTATTGTTTCCTTCCTCCCTTTCTTCCTCCCTCCTTCCTTTTTTAATTTATAGTGATTTGGATGCGTACTGTACGCCAGGAACTCTCTTTTAGTTGAGGCTAAAATGGTGACAAAATAGACAAGATCCTAGCTTCAAAGAGTCAGAGAACACGGACATCGGGCCAGCTGTCGACCGCAGGGGGCGGTGATGGCTGCAAACAGCACACACCCGCAGGCGCTCCAAGCTTCGATACCCAGCCGAAGAAGTGAGGAGGCTGATCATTTCAAACCCCTCTCCTAGCACGCAGCACGTCCAGCGCGGATCACTCATTTCTTCCGTGCATTTGCTTCAACCGTACGAGACGTGTGTCGTCGCTCTGCCCCGGCAAGGACATCCCAGCTGCAGAGCCCCGGGGGCACGAGCCTGTTCAGCACGTTCCGGCTGTGAATGCGGACAGGCGTCTTTTTTTTTTTTTTTTTAACTTTTTTAATTTATTTATTCATGAGAGACAGAGAGAGAGAGAGAGGCAGAGGGAGAAGCAGGCTCCCAAGGAGCAGGGAGCCCGATGCGGGACTCGATCCCAGGATCCCGGGATCATGACCTGAGCCGAAGGCGGACGCTTAACCATCTAAGCCACCCAGGCGCCCACGGACAGGCGTCTTGACGCACTTGTCGAACTCAGCAGTAGGAGACCATCTCCCAGGCCGAGTGCTGCACGTGAGTCGACCTGCTCGTCCTGCCCACGAAGCTTCTCTCCGGGGCTCACACGTCTTACTTCCAGTCGCACTACTGTGCGTGCACGGGCCCCCCACTCAGCGGCCATCCATCCACGAGGTACGGGCAAGTGACGTCAGAGGCCAGGCGACCCCCGCGAGGGCGGGGCGGTGCGCACTCGGGTCCCACCGCCCGCTGTTCGGGGTTGGCCCCCAGCGCGGAAGCTCGGTCGGCCAGCTCCGGAAACGGCCTGTCTCGGCCCGCGAGCGCGCAAAGGAAAGGGCGCGGGCTGTGGGGTCCGCGGTTCTTCTCCAGCACCAGAACCTTCGGCAGGGCTCCCTGACTGGCGCCCAGGTTCCGAAGGACCGCTCACGGATGGCACGGAGGGCGGCGCTGCAGCCCTTAGCTGGCGTCGAAGGACACGGTCCAGGCGCCAGGCCCCCGCGCCCCGCCCCCGCGCCGACGGAAGTGGCGGCCCGGCCTTCCGGCCTTCCTTCCGGCCCACCGCCCGCCGACTTCCGGCCGGCAGGTGGGCGCGCGCCGCATAACGACCTTCTGCGCCGACGGTCGGCAGGCGGCGGCGGCGAGTGGATGGAGGCTTCGGCCCCCGGCCGGCGGAGGCGGCGGGGCTGGCGGCGGGCCCCGGCCGCGGGCTCCCCGCTCACCCGGGCCGCGGTCGTCCTGCTGCTTTCCGCCTTCGTGGCGCGGGCGACGCCGTCAGGTGAGGCGTCGGCGCCGCCGCCACGGGCTCCGCGGGGCCGCCCGTCCCGCCCGGGGCTGGCCTCCCCGGGTCACGTGCGCCCGCCGAACCGAAAAGAAGCGCCGGTACCGGCCGGAGAGGGGTGTGTTCGCATAAACTCTGCCGAGGCCCCTGCGTTCGCGCGGGGTGCCGGGTGACTGGAGAGGTTGTTGCCGCACAGGCAGAAGAGCTCCGGAACACCCTCCGTGCACGGCGTCGTTAGCCTGGCTGTGAATCACCTCCCCGGGCCGCCCCCCGGCCGGCCCGCCAGCCCCGCAGGACGCGCGGTGCCGGGCCTCCCTGTCTGTGCGGTGTGGCCGGCGTGGACCGCCCCGCACGTCCTCGTCCTGGGTCCCGCAGCTCCCCCTGTCGGTCTTAGTTAGAAAATGCAGGGAAGACTGCGATGCTCAAGTTGAGGCGTTTTTCTGCCGTCGTCTGTTTCCTCCTTTGTGTCCCAAAAAGTTCCATCCTGTTTTTTTTTTTTTTAAGATTTTATTTATTTACCTGACAGAGAGATAGAGCGAGAGAGGGAACACAAGCAGGGGGAGTGGGAGAGGGAGAAGCAGGTTTCCTGCTGAGCAAGGAGCCCGATGCGGGGCTTGGATCCCAGGACCCTGGGACCATGACCTGAGCCGAAGGCAGACGTTTAACGACTGAGCCACCCAGGCGCCCCTCCATCCTGTTTTCAAACGTGTTTCACATACCCGCGAAGGCACACTGAAGGGAGGGTTTCGGCCGCCGTCGTGTAACCGAGAAGGTTCTGTTCTAAGTAGGGGATAGCTGATCACCTTTAATTAGCCAGTGGGAGAGGATGCCTCTTGGCCATGGCCCATGGTATTATACTAGGTAGGGTAGTTGGCGGGGGGGCGGGGGGTGGCGTGTGCTTCTTTAGATCCAATCATAAGATCAGACCTGAGGCTACAAGACCTAAAATAGGCAATGCCTTAATTCTTAAGCGCTGAGTGGTAAAGATGATAATCACATAGCATTTGTACCACCTTCCATTCAGTCCCTACGATAACGCTGTAAATCCGAAATGCAGTCTCATTTTACAGGTGAGAAAAGCGGAGATGCTAGAATTTAAGGTGACTTTCCTAAGGCCAGTAAGTTGTCTTGTGACTTTGAGTACACCCTCCTCCCACTCTGTTAAATGTTTTTTGGGTGGATGCTGTATTCTGTTTTTTTTTTATACTGCTCCTACTACTTGGTCTGTGGATGCTCTTAGGTCCATTTGCTCATTCAACAATGACTGAAGAATCTCAGAATATATCATGTTTAACTATTATTATTTAGTTTGTCTTATGTGCAGGATGCTTGGTACTGATTCTTGATAAGTTGACATAAACATGGATCCTACTATCAATGGATCCTGCTATCAGTACAGCTTATAATCTAACGAAAAATTATATATGTGCATAAAGAACTATAATACAGTACAATGTAGACTGTCACGAAGGAGGTGCTGATGATGGAAGTAAGGGAATATGAGAAGTGATAAGGACAGACAAGGTTTGCAGGAAGAGGGACTTGTGATTTGGGTCTTGAAGCGTGGGGGATTTGGATTTTGAAAAAAGAGTATTCTAAGTGGTTGTAGAAAAAATCCTGAGATGAGGTGCAGTAGGGGAAGCAGTGAGTAGGTTAATTTCACTGGCGCATAAGGGGGAGAGTGGAGTCAGAGGGGAGATGCCAAATGTTGGAAGAGATTGACTTACCGTTCCTCCTTCAACCGAGATCAAATATGCTGTGATACTCAACTATTTGAATATCTTGGAATTTCTAATGAGGCAGATTGC